ATATATAGCTTTAAAACCCAAACACCTCCACTGAAACGCAGTTTGCAGGTTTACATCAAAAGTTCCACAGTTCCGATGATGTTGAGTAAAGAGCTGGATGCAGGCCAGTGTTGCCTCACAATTTGGCAACAAATTGAATTACAGTAACCCCAGTCTCGATCCTTTGTGCATGAAAATTTTTTGACCTTCCTTAAGTAGTTACATAAGATGGGGACCTGTATGTCTTCCCAATCAGCCATACGACACTGTCAACTAACGTGCATTCCTGCTGCTCTCACAATAAGTTTGCTTCACAGTGTGTAGCTGTCCCCCAATCTGTTCTCCTGGGAGAAATTAGATATGTCTAGAGGAAAAGAATCTTTGCTAAAACAATAATGACCCACCCAAATGGACTCTGACACATTAGAGTCACTGTCTAGGTGAATGAACAGTGAGGGGGGAGGGGCTCTGTTAGAGGAATTTGATGAGACAGCAGTATCTCTCTTGGGTAAACGCGTACATTCGCGCGCCTCTCTTAATTGGGTTTAGTGCATGTCTTGGCACCAGACGCAGCCAGTTTTAGTTGAATTAGTCTCCTGAATACTCATTTACTTCTCGCTGATGAAGTGCTGCTTTGAGCCGTACGGGAGGGAAAAGGGAGGAGGGGGTTAAGAGGCCACACTGTGTCTCCCCCTCCCTTTTCCCTTTCTCTCTCAACCTGATAGGACTTCATCCTTCTTAGGTCACAGATTCTTCACCTGCCACACTCGCAGGATGAGCAGCGGTGGCAGCGCTGCGTTGCAAACCTCTAATTTCATGCAAAGAATACCAAGCAGCTGTCTCCTCTGTCCTGCCTGAGAGGTTACCACTTTTAACGTTGTGCTACACTGCCCTCTGGTGGATACCTTCCTATCCTGTCAATCTTTTTTTTTTTTTTTTTAAATGTTTTTTAAAGGAGGTGTTTAATATTTGAGGTGTTTCATAAGAAAAGCAGCTGCTCTGCAAAGAAGTGCTGCCTTTGTAGAGGTCATTGACGTCAGGTGAAAATCCATAAACTTTTAGGCTGGAACTTAAGCAATGCTACTTCTCAGAAAAGCACTTCAGCTGTGATGTGCTTGCATGCTGTATGACTTCGTAAGTTCATAGAAGTATAGGAGGTCTTAGTGTGTCTTTCTGCTGAAGGCAACAAGGACATAATTAATGTGCCATTGTTGAAGGACATGCATGCTTGATTCTGTGCAAGAATTATTACCGAAAAATTATAGAATGAGTTATGTAATGGAAATTATCAACTGTGTGAAGCAAGACTATATCAGTGTTCAACAAGAAGTCAGAATTCAATAATAGAATAATAGAATTCAAGATAACAAGTTGAATTCATAAGAAACGGTCTGATCTCACAGAAGGTTGTGAAATAGCCACGAAAAAGTAAAATGTTTTTATGTTTATGACAATGAATTGTTAAGTTATGGGTTTTTTTCATGGTATTGAGCACAAATTTGAAAGTAATGCATTCCAGGAGTGCACATTTTTGGGGGTAGAAAAAGAAGGAAAGTGTAAGACTTTGTGTTGCTAGTGCGAGAGTGTGCCGACTAACTTAGAAACACGGTCTTTCTCTTGCTTTTAAATCCAGACACATAAGAGTGGACTGATGGAAATAATGCCACAATGCCCATTTTAGTACAATTAACATTTTTGATACTAGACTGACATACTTGCTGTGGTTTGACCAGATGTTAAAGCTGGCTAACATTTATAATTATAGTGGTAGTAGTAACAGGGCATTCACACGTGTACGTTACTTCTTGGCTGGATGGTGGGCAGTGTTGCCAACTCCTCAGTAAGGAAAATCGCTATTGG